GACTAAGTGGAAATTATAAAAGCACTAAACCTTCCCCATACTTCATTTAATTGTTTCAGATTTTAAATTCAGACATAATGTCTGAATTTAAAATCTGAAACAATTAAATGAAGTATGGGGAAGGTTTAGTGCTTTTATAATTTCCACTTATTACTGCTAAGGTAGAAATGCATATTTTAGATATTTTTACGTAGAACCCAGTGGCGAAGTAAAAAACATTTTTGGACCACTTTTTCTGAGACTTAACCCAGTGTTAGTATTTTTAAATGCAGTACCCTGTATATATTAACGTCAATTTTTTGCATTCTTTTTCCTGATTACATATTGATGTATCACAACCTATATTTTTAAATGCTAGCCATTAACCAAAAATAAAAACCTGATGTTTTGCGGTTTTTAAATAGTAGGCTATAGATTAATGGAGATTTTGTTTTGATTATTTTATCCATGGGAACTAAGGCAACCGATACCCATCAGTAAAAAGAGTATAACAAAATATAGGTTGCGATATGTCAATGTAATCGGGAAAAAAGACTGCAAACCTGATGTTTAATATATGCGATATGTTTGCCATTACTAGAAGAATCTTTGATTAAAGTTTCAAAAAATATCTTTGTCAATACGAAAGTTGATATGGCACAGTTTGCGCATGCGTTGAAAAATGCGCTAAAAAATATACAGGGTGTTACATGACCGCATGCAAAAAAAATTGGGCGATAGAGGGGATCAAGACAAACACTTTTTCCCAATAAACCGACACGTGTTTCGTTTGGGAGCCACTCCCAAAGAAGTGGCGAAATTTGGATTTCTTCTTTAATTTTTTTCTCAGCAACCATAAGAGTCTTCGATAGGTTTTTGGGTATGCCCTATTCGATTTTGACAATTTTTTTCAAAATTTCTACCCCGAAAGGGCGCACCCCTACTTGGGGGTGCAAAAAAATTCAGATCTCGACGAAATTTGATATCTGGGGGTTTTTGAACATGAAAATGAAGAATCTGAAATTAGTTTTTGAAAATTCGAAAAAAAATATCGACTTAAATCGTTATTTTTTTATTTGCGACATTTTCAATTAACTCATGTAAAATTAGATCACTCAGTAGTAGGCGGGGGACACTTTGTAACCCGAAGGCCCAATCTTCAAATGAGTAATTTTGATTGAAAAGTTATTTTAAAAAAACTGTTCGACAATTTTGTTCCTTAACTCATTAAATATGTACACAACGAATTTCGTGGAATTCTCTCCATTTTCATTGTCCGGCCAAGAATTGCAGTGGAACTTTTTTTTCGAATTTTCAAAAACTAATTTCAGATTCGTCATTTTCATGTTCAAAAACCCCCAGATACCAAATTTCGTCGAAATCAGAATTTTTTTTCGCACCCCCAAATAGGGGTGCGCCCTTTCGGGATAGAAATTTTGAAAATTTTTTTTCAAAATCGGATAGGTCATACTCGAAAACCTATTCAAAGACCCATCTTAGTAACTCTTATGGTTGGTGAGAAAAAAATTAAAGAAGAAATCCAAATTTCACCACTTCTTTGGGGGTGGCTCCCAAACGAAACACGTTGGACCATCGGTTTATTTGGAAAAAGTGATTGTCTTGATCCCCTCATCACCCAATTTTTTTTGCATGCGGTCAAGTAACACCCTGTATACTGGCCGCCGTAAATAAAAGAACACCCAGTGCACTTTGATCAATTTTGATGAAATTTTTAGGACAGTTGTGTGCAAGGTTGTTTTATTAACCTTGAGTGGTGTGTGCCTATATCAAAACAACAAACGAGAAAATGTTTACAGTGAAGTGGCTTAAAAGCGGTTTTACCTCGGGTTTTACATTTTCAAATCGTGTAGGAATACGACTGGGTTTTTTTCAATATTACACATTTGATCAAATAACATTATGGAGTAGTTTTCTCTCGAATTTTCTTATTAGTTCTTTTTTACGCGTTGGAATAATGTTAGTTATCGGGTCAAGAGTTGCATTAGAATTTTCTTTTCAACTTCACTTTCTTGTTCTAGGTTCAAAGATGTCAAATTTAATCAAATATGCTATTGATCCATCTTTCTATTGGTTGCTACATATTATAGTGATTTTAGGATTTACTTTTACCAATGATACAAGGTTTGCAGTCATGGTCATGGTTCAGAGGTTGAAGTTAACAATTCGGTTGAATACTTCCTTCATCTTGAATAAGGAAGCAAAAATCCTAAAATCCAACATGACCAAGCACTTCCAGAGCCACTGCAGGAATATTCGAAGAAAGCCCTTATTACTTTCATCCACTTTCGCAAAATTTTTAAAAGCTTGTTTTCATCGCGGTTTTCATAGTTTCCTGTAAGTTGCTTTAAGACAATCAAACTACTTCTGTAGAATCCGAGGTAGAATCGTTTTTTTTTTTGGAAAATCGAAGACCTATTGACACTAGTCTTTAAAGATAGTATTCCTTCAAGTATTACGAAGATCTTCTGCGGTGCTTCACTAACTGCCCTCAATCCGCTACGAGAAAGATTTTGGTTTAATCTGGAGAAAGTTGGCCTCCTGTCATCAAATTACTCCAAAATTCAAAGAACTTCAAGTTAGTAGTGGAGATTAGAGAGGGTACACTTTGATGGGTTCTTTCAATGCCCTATTTTTATTTCTTCCCATCTTCTTTGTTTATTTATCAACTTCTACTTTCTGTTTTGGTTCCCTCGGTTTCCTCTTTAGATTTTTTCTATCTCTCTCTTTTAACCTACGTATTTTTATACCTTCTTTTTCTTTCTCAAGCCTCTGATCTCTCCCTTGCTTGTTTTCCATCACTGTTCTGTACAATCCCATCTTCACCATTCTTTCCTTTCCTCTTTCTCCACCTTGTACGTTTACCTGCTTCCATGACATTGAATTTTCAATACCTTTCTTAATTAATTTTTACTCTCTGATTCGGTCTGTGACTTTAAATTGCGACTTGTATTAACTTTTTTATGTAATTTTCACCAAATACAACTAATACTAATAATTCCACCTGAATAAGAATTTTAGATCTTGGCACTGAGAGCACGTACGGAGTTTTTTAAGGGGAATTCGCTCTGTCCGTCTAAACTCGAGAACGAAAAGAGACAGCGGTGTCAAAACTTCGCCAATCGAAGTCTACGAGGTCAAGGATCAGCGTTCAGCGCTAAGGTATATCAGCCGGATTAAAAGTCGCGGTCCGAATCCGAACTACTAGTGTCAAAAAAATCCCCTGCTGAAAATCATCATGTGTGGTTCCTCTTTTCTTGGATTAATCGCCCGCGAAGCTGTAATCATCGGCACACTACTTGCAACTGTTATTCATATTCATTTATTGATGATGGAAATTTGCTGTGGACATGAGTATTAATTTTTTTGTTTTTTTTTTATGTCTTTATGGTCATTTTTGGACTGCATTAAGAACTAGTTTCCCCAGTAACGTGCGATCAAAAATGAGTTGCTGTCGAGTAGTGGAAGTTTAAGTCGAGGTTTTAAGCTTCACGTAATTTGTTCTGCTCGCCTACTAATAAGGGGCGATCAAAAAAAGATTGACGTCGAGTCGATTTTGGAAGTTATGATTTCGCATGTAAACAAAAATTCCAATTTCCAAAGGTGACTCGATAGCACCTTTTTTTTGATCGCATAGCAGATGATCCAGGAAGATACAGGTATAAGAAAAGGAATGTAAAATAGTTAGAAAAGAAACGTGGGAATCACCACGAGCAATTGTGTACTTAGCACAGTAATAGAAGGGAACATATACCTAAGCTCGGTGAAAAAAAAATGATGAAACCAATAAAAGTAGGTATGAAAATGTGGCCGTTTTGAATGACACTAGGAACTAAATCATAGCGGCGCTAGCCATGTAAAAACCAAAGTTATGAAGACGGCAATGTTTCCAATGGGGCAGCAGAGTAAAAAATACTTACAAACCAACGCAAAATTGGCGTTATTTTTGTATTTAGAAACACGGATTTTTCACGAAATGCCTAGGTACTATTTTAAAATTGACGGTCATACCACTTAATTCATACGTCCCGCAGTGGCGTAACTACCATCGGGCAGTTCGGGGCAATGCCCCGAGGCCCCGCAATCTCGGGGGCCCCGCAACCCGAAAGGTGCCAGCCACACGTAGAAAACGATGTGTAGTATACAAAATATAAAAATGTGTGCCATGCCTCCTTTTAGTGATTTGACTAGCACAATGTCAACGAACGAATTTTTCGAACTAATCATCAAACAATATGGGATTCTCGAGAGTGATTTTATTCAGATGTTCACGACTTTTTATTATTCTTAACATTACCTGTAACTGTGGCAAGTCTCCAGCGATCGTTCAGTAAGTTGAAAATCATAAAAAATTATCGAAGATCTCAAATGGGTCAGAAAAGATTGATCAATCTAGCATTTCTTTCAATTGCATCTAAAATCGCGTCGGAAATGGATCTGACCCAAGTAATCAAGGATTTGCAAATGCAAGGGTAGAAAAAGAGACTTTTAGATTTTCTACATAACTTAGGCTCGTCAAATATGTATGTAATTATTATTTCAAAAATTAAACGTTTAGTATGTTCCGATTTTATATTTTGCAATTAATAAGAAGTATAGATTAAAAAAATGACTGTTTTAAGGTGATTTTATTTAAACGATTCTTATTAAAAACTGTAATGCGTGCCTAGTACTTATAGGGGGCCCCGAGGACCATTTGCCCCGAGGCCCCGAGCTGTCTTGTTACGCCACTGACGTCCCGTATCCTATGTTGGCAGGTCGCAAACAATTTGTTTTGACAATGCGTAAGACCGGAAAACTAAATTTCTGGTTTGGAGGTTTTCTCTTGATAGGTGGTGTTTTCAAGTAGCAACTTTTATTTGAGCGGTCCATGTGCTCAGCCAGCTTAAAATATACACAACACAATAGCGGCCAGGTATTTACGTCGGAACGTGCCAAAATGATGTACGATTAACAAGTGGTACCTGATGTAGGTAGCGAAATTTGCTCTAAAAGCGGCTTACCTGCGCGCTGGGCTCTCCAAAGTTCGTCGCGAAAGCCGTGGTCCTTTTTCGCTGGTTTGAAGGATTGGCCCAAAAAAAACTACGTTAGTAGAAAGTTAAGGGATACAACACTTTTTTCCAATTTAAAAATACACTCTTGGAAAATTGCCACAATTATGTAAAACCGAAACAATTCGAAATTGTTTTTAAAGTCGCCCGAATTTATCCGCATAAATTAAAGGTGAATAAAGCGCGCTCGTCGGAATTACTGGATGGATCAGCATCAGCAAAGCAGAGGCAATTAGAGTGGGGGAGCTCTTAAAATAATTCACCAGCACTGCACCCGGTGTTAATAGAATTACAAATTGTTCGTTTTACCGATTTTAGTATTGAAGGCGACCTCTGTGAGTTCCTGCGTTACGTGCAGGACTCTTGGAAAGCGCTCATTAGAAATAACCACCAATTTCAAAAAATGCAAAGGAAATGTGCTTGCTACGCCCACGTAAAGTCTGTAATTAAGTACAGTTGGTGTAGTATATAAGTGTCTTAATTTAGATCGAAAGCAAAATAAAACAAACACTCCAGGTCTATAGATAACGCTCAAGTCGATTCTGACGAGTACCCCTCAGAGCCAATTGTGTGTTAGATTGTAAAAGCACCTCTGAAGGAATTTTGTTGTTGGTTTACTCTCAATTGGCACTAACGAACCTATTCTGCATATTGGCAGGGTGACTAAAAGAAGAATCCCAAGGTTTTAGTTCCTCAAATGTTGAGAACATTCACACCATGCAAATGTTGGATAGCACCATAGTCTCATCATCTTCAGAAAACAATTTTTTTTATTTCTCCTTTTTCTATCAGTCCTTTCCGTCTTCGTCTAATATCTCTTTCCTGCTTTTATTCATTCCCATACCGTATATGCTTTACATTCTTCTCTCTCTCTTGCCACATAATATGCATCTTCTTTCTTCTTCTTTTCTTCATCCCTCATTTTCTCTCACTTCTGCATCTGACGCTCGCTATTATTTGTATTTTACTCCCTCCACTTCTCTTCTTTTTTCTCCACCCTTCGCGAAGCTCATTGCCTTCGGTTTTTCAACATTTAACTCCATGGAAAAATTTTTCTCCCGCAATTTTCTAGTTGAAAACGCTCAATTAAGGTGTCCTCTGACCATTTTTATCAATTTAATGATCTTACCTGGGGGTCACGTAATCGCGTTAGATTCTCTGAATTCTCTGATGTACTATTCAGTGGTTACAGATATTATACTTTGTTTCAATAACCGTTTATAAATCACATAATCAATGTAATCAATTTTTTACTACTAATTAAATCAATCTGAGCAAAAATGAGGAGAAAGAAAATTGTATTAACACTTTTCTGTTAATGAGTAAAAAATAAAAATATAAAATGCTTTTAATTGGTGGGGTGGGGGGAGCGGCAATTTCGAGGGGTCCATAGGTGCAAGATATGTAGATCCGGCCCTGTTTATGTCTACTGTTTTCCAAACGCTTTTTGTACATATTGCCGGGCTGAATAGGTATCTTTGCTCTTGTCGCTTCCAAACGTAACTTTATTCTTTTCCTTAATATTTTGTGTAAGTATGTTACTCTTTGCCCTTTACAACCCCACTCAGTGCCTACACATACGTAGTTTATAGTTCCTCTTCCCCCTTGTTGTAATAATCACGCAGAGTTATTAAAGATATATTTAAAGATAGTAATATGTAACGACAGTGAAGTTTCTAACAGGAAAAATTCTCAATTATTAGAGTAACTACAACATTTACCATAGCTACGTTACACACTGTTTTTCAATGTCGTTATGATGTATTATATTTTCGTCACCCCTTTACTGTTGATTTGATTCCGTTCTTGTTTCCTAGTATGAATTGTGTTACTTCCCCCATTCCATTTTTAGTTACCAAATTGTAATTTACTATTTACCTCCCTTTTCTCCCTATCTTTGCGAATTGTTCCTCTACCCTCCATGTTTCTTTTCATCAATCCGCTCAATGTTTTTTTCTTTTTTAATGTTATCAATATTATCTATTGTATCTCCTGTACTATATTTTCAGTTTTCTTAGATCTTTCATTTCGTCACTGTTGTAAATCGTTACCACTATCGTTCTTTGATCCCCCACTTCCACCCTTCTGTTCTGCATGGCATCCATCCTCATCCTTTTGTCAACTGCTGTTATATAGCGAGTAAAATAAACCCAAAATAAATTATTGAAAAGCTAGTCCGAATTTGAAACGCTTCAGACTAAATACGTCACAAACCTACAACCAATCACGTAGAAGTGAGCTGGCAACCTTACGCGAGGGTCTGACGTTTGTCACATTTGACGTTTTGAGAGGGATGTTTAACTGCATCTAGCCACAGCCGTCTATAATTATAGACGGCTGTGATCTAGCACGAAAGTGACAAGTGCCTGTGACAGATGACGCAAGTTATAAATGCCATTCTTCTGCAATATTGCCAAGTCGTTATGTCATCTGAATGGTTCTAGGAGCTGATTGGTGGGGCTTATTACGTCACAGAGCCCGCCACAATCATATCGTTTTGAATAAACCTTTAAAACCGCACATGTTCATTATTTTTTTGCTAATCAGTCTCTATTTTTAAATAAACTTTTACTGTCCAAAAAAATGTTTTATGGTTTCAGGTACACGCTTGTTAAATTAGAACTGCGGAATTCAACTATACTGTAAACCCCCATTTTGTAGGCGTATTCTGTAAAAAGTAAAAAAAGTGGGGATTAAAAGAGAGAATTTTGTGGAGGCATTAAGCGGGAAGCCATATTAGGAGGACTCGCGAAATTATTATAGGCAGAAAGGGTGACAGACAATGTGCTATATCGCCGACCCCATACGTACGATTGGTTTCGCAACGCCGATGGACTAATACGACTTTGCGGTGACTACAAACCTACAGTCAACCCGTTATCCACTTCCCACTGCAGAAACATCTTTCGCCAAAATCTCGGGATCAACAGTATTTTCCATGATTGGCCTTGATCAAGGTAGGTACCAGTCGATGACGAAGCGGCGGACATTCTCACTATCAACACTATCCTTGGTTTGTACATCATCTCTGGGATATTCCAGCGTCTCGTGACAGACATACTCACTGAAGTGCCTCGTATCCTGGTCCTCCAAGACGCCTATACACTTGTTTGTGGCCATGATAATGCGGCCCACGACACATGGATCATCCCAGTCGTGGACAAACTGCACTCAGCTCGACTCAAAAACGCAGGGAAGAAAATTATATCTAGATAGTAATCGTTAGTGATCCGCATTCCATTAAATTATTATAAAAATATATTTAGAGTTATGAGAGTTTCCACCCTGTATATACAACTTACGACGATACATACATTTTTGAGAGGTGGCAGCCATGCAATTTCTAGGTGGGGAAAAGCTGCCTGCGCCATCTAGAAAGCACCAACGTTGGTTACGTTGGGCATCTTGTTTTGAATGGCGGTCGTGAATGCGTCGCTCCATAAATGTTTTCTATGCCACATTTTATATATTTTGTGTGTTTGAATCTTTGCTTTTGAAATTTTGTTGGTTTAACCACAATGCAGAATCACATATGTGATACCGTTATGCTATTGTTTGTAATTGTTGAGGTTTTTGGTGTAATGCTTGCTTAATTTATATTTATTGATGTTGATTACTTGGTCTTGCCCCTGAAGTAACATTCATACAAGTTTTGATAATTTTATTTTAATATGTGGAAATGACCGATTCGTTTGATATATGTACTGACTTGTTGTTTGTTACTAACATTTTTCTCCGTGAATGAAGCAGTCACGGGGGTGGTAAAAACTGTAACCATTTGAAGTACGACACCTAATTCCATGATTGTCTTCGACATTCAACTGTAGGCTCGAAACCTCGAAACCAGGGGCGGGCTACCTATCTTGCAGGAGCGGGATTACGCTAATCAAAGCTCTTCAGTTTAGAAACTATGTGCGATAAGTGAGTGGCGATTCAATAATTTTCACATATCTTGTTTTTACCTATAAGGCCATGTAATTTTCCATCTTGCTTTTAACAAAAGGACTTTATTGCACAAAAGATGAGTCACATCCTGTGTATTTCACCCTTTATTAGAATCTCGGTACCTGCTTACCTGACCCGTAATTCCCAAAACTTGTTTTTAACCTATATGTTACCTCTTGAAGTCTACCTGCTACTTTTTGTGATGTTATAATTTTATGTTATGCATTCACATCATTACAAACAATTAATTTTACAACACAATTTGATATTAATTTGATGGCTGGTTTTTTTATTGGTACTTAAGTTCTTTTTTTCCCAGCCTATTTCTATTTTTATTCGGTGAACTATCATTTTCAAAGTTTATTTTTGCAATGTAATTTATGTTGCACTTAAATTTCCGAGCTTTTACAATCAATAATAATCGCGATCATTATTAAACAACCTTTTCACAATCAGTGTTTTATTTTACGTTCCTTCCCTACTGTGCTTCATAGCGTCATAGCGTTGTTTACAACCTATGTTTACAACCATAGAATTACCAACCACTGTAATTCTATGTTTACAACTAACGTAAGGGGGCCCTGCTGTTTTATCACGCGCCACTTTTCAAATTTAAACGGGTTTAATTTTGGAGGGAATCTTCTTTCGGGGGGCCATTTTTAAACGTTGCTGGGTTGATTTTATTTCCGTGTTCTTGTAGTGTGAAGTTAGTTTAGAACCTGGGGGTTAAGTACACTGCACCCTTAAGGGCACGTCACTTTCATCTTGCCAAAATATGCATTTTAAAATGATCCACCTAGAAGTGAGTAAAAGATATTATTTTTGCTTTGAAAGTTGTATTTTCAAACAATGATGACCTAATAGTTGGGTTCAAGGTTTGATTAGGGCTTAAGATTGAGTTTTAAAAGCGCGGGTAGTAATTGTTACCGTGTAAGAAGGGGTAGGTAAGGAGGTGGCTACCCAGTTAGGTAGGGGAATTTTAAATGAGCAAAATCAAGTTAGTAATAGTATGAATATGCTGATGAAGGGAGGATTTGGGGTGAAAAATGACCCCCCAATTTTTTTACGGAAATACACGTTTTGAAGCACCAGGAATTCGAATCAGACAAAATCTCGACTACGAGCAAATGATTATTTAGGTGCGAGACGTAATTTCATTTTTCAGGTAAAGAAGCACGGTCTGCTTCCCAAAAAGAGTAATTACAAGTAAAATTAATAATTTGAGCCAGGCGTCCGTTGTTTCTGGGCAAAAAATGTCACTGGAAACAGTCACGGTTCATGAAAAACAAAC